AACAAATCTGCAGAATTTTTAGCATTTGCACTTCTTAGCAGCTAGAGACATAGGAAAAAGTGACTATCATCAAAATAAATGAAGAAATTGCTCAAGATCATGTTGTTGCTGTTTTGATATTTCAACATCAAAAGCAATATGCAACAATCATCTGTGTCAATAAATATAGGGTTTGGTGTCCCCTTTTCTTCCAGAATGACAGAGACTAACAGCAAAGATCAAAAAATGGAAAAATATATATTTTCGTGGTCTTGTAATTAAGCTTTGGCTGAAACAAGAGACGCCATAAAGGATATCATATGGGGATTTAAGAACAAAAGAAGATTTCTGCTTTATCAGGTCAGTTTGTTTAGTCCTAAATCCTGTTTTGCATAGTGACATACCTTTTTGTTTTTGCTTCCCTGTTTTTTTACAGGAATCACCCCTTTGACAGTGAAGATAACCTATAGTCATCCAAAGTGGTTGCGATTGATTCACCTATGTTCCATGAAATTAAATCACCAAAACTATTGAATTGTACAAAATAAATATAGAATATAAATCAAATCAAACAATAATGGGATAATGGAATACAGAGGCAAAATAGACCCAGCTGAATTATTTTCACATTATATTTAAGAACATTTGGGATTAATCTGATCTGTCCATAAACACCAGAAGAATTTATGTTCTGTCTGAATTCCTATCTACCACTTTTTTGCTTGTCAAGACAACTTTATCAAGTCTGAAGAAACAGGATATTTACTCTACAAGAGTCAATAAGATCTTATTGTTATATTTTTTTTAACAAACACATCTCCAATAAAGTTTCAAGGCTACTTGTAGTACATGTATATAAGCTTAGGTGCATGTATATATAATGACTGAGTTTCCAAACCTTTTTTAAAATTAGTCCAGATAATCCCTGACTTATTACCACAATTGGGATCAGAATTTCTATCATGAATTGTTGCAGTCACGAGTCATCATGTGACTGGACCCAATTTTATGAGCATTTTTATTGCAGTTGTAAGTGGGGATCCCAGAGTTGTAATTTGACTCACATGGTTGTAAATCCAAATCCAGTTTTCCCAAAGTTGTTGTTTTTTTGTCATAAATCATGATCATGCAGAGGTGTTTTTTTTTGTCACAAATCATGATCATGCAGTGGGATGCTGCAACTGGTTATTAATGCAGACTGGATGCTAAGCATCAGAATTTTGATCATGTAAATATGTGAATATGTAAATAAGTTACTTTTTCAAAGGCTATTATTAATTTGAACCACTGTTAAGTGAGCAGTCATAAGTCGATTACCTATATTAACATTTAATTACACTTAAAGGGAAATTTTACATCACAATACAATGAGGAACTATAGGTAATCTCATTCTATGTCATATCTGCATGTTGGTTTCAATTTTTTATCATTAAGGAAATGATCTTGTCATATGAAAATTAGTATATTAATTAACCTTACAAAACTCCTAAAATACTTTACAGGCACATGTCTACAGAGGTTCTCAATCATCCAAGTCATAGTTGTCCCAATGGTGTTTTTTCAAAAGACAACTGGACTTTATTTTTTCCTTGGACATATTTTACTTTTCATGCAAGAAGCTGAAGAACTGAAGAAGAGAACTGAAGAAGCTTCTTGTATGAGAAGCAAAACATCTTCAAGGAAAAAAACAAAGTCCAGTTGCCTTTTGAAAAAGCACATTTGGGACACTTTATAGGCACCTATTTTCATTAAAACTATCATCTATATTCATTCTTATAGGTGATTTGCTTTGTTCTGCTACCTTAAAACGTATATATTTTTGTAAAGGGAACTTGACAAACTTAACTCTGTGACTAGTACAATATTTCAGCTTAAGGATTTAACTCTCTAAATAGTTTTATGGTACGGAGTAGTGGTATGGAGGAAACCTTCAATCTCTTGCAATTTCTCCTTCCACCCCAAAATAATATAAAATTATTTGACCTAATGCACAGAATAATCAATAAAGTCCACACCTGGCAGTGTGTTTCAGAATCCAGTGAGTGTTTAAGATCTCCAGTTTTGAGAGAAATTTAATATGCCTACAGGTTAAAATAAAGTGTAATTGATGAGGGATTAATACCAAGCAGCTATCCCCATTATTATATGAATGGACAAAAATATAAATAGCCTACTATTTAAGTGCTGCTAATTTTGTCTAATGACATTAAGGTACAATTATGGCTAGAATAACAATGATCTTTAGACAAAGGATCAACAAATGACAAAAAATAAATGTTAGCAAATGAACTTATTCATGTTCTTGAATAATGTTCTGAATTACCATCTATCTTCAACCAACAAACTGAGGGTACAGTATGTTTCATCAATCTGTCTTTCAGACAATTACAGCCTTTCTTAGAAAACTAAATACAATAGTTGTATCTGTAAGCCTGTCAAGAACCAGGTGCACACTGTTGACTAACAGAGACGGCACCCCATCTCTCTCCTCCAAACCCTTGTTTTTCAGCTTCTTTTAATTTGTAATTTTAATCCATTTTTATATTTATAATTGCTAAATGTTTGTTTTATCTTGATGTAAGCTGCTCAGAGACACCTGAACCACAACAAGATGGGCAGAATATTAATTTGATAAATCAATTCAACAAATTTTATCAGCCATGGTGAAGCGCATTCAACAGTTTAATATCCTGACATTAGCAACATAGTATTAACAGGGTGACTCAGATTTTGTCTGGGTTTTGCATTATTTTGTTTTCTATCTTTAAAAACCATTACCAGACGACAATACACTTAAAGGTTTTATTAAGTATCTTAAAGAATTAGCAAGTTCTTTATTGCTAAATGATTAGATTTCTAACATAACTAAAAGGCTACAGAAATTGGCATTCAATGTTGTAAAACCAAAAAGAACATATGAGTTAATGTTAACATTAACTCCCTAATAATAACAGGTGCAACACATCTGAAACAAAATAAACTTCTCAAATGCACTATTCACTTTTTAAACATGGACAGATTGTGTTGCAGGGCAAATGATTTGTAGAGCAAAAATGCCTCTTTTCCTTTCTGTGTATTTCTCTCTAAAGACTTCACAGAGAGCTTTTCTACACTCAACTTTGTTGTCCTCCCACAGTTTGCCTTTTTAAACAATCCTCTCCAAATATTGTTTCTGAAGCCACTGAATAATTCTGTTTAGAATACTTATGAAACTAATGGGGTTATAAAATAAGAACTTCAAATTAAAAGAAGAACTTTAAATTTTCCATCTGTAAGTTTTACAAACAGCTTAGTTTGGATATTTTAGATACCGTGATATCAAATTACAGTCATGTAAGAAAAATCGTATCAATGCAAACACTTTACTGAAGGGCAGGTTCACACTCTTACCCAAGGGATCTATTCACTTCCCATACAGAAAGGGGCTGATGAAATGCTGTCAGAGTAAACTTCTGCTCACTTTTTGGATGATTTAACGTCAATGGACCATACAAACACTCCAGAATGGCTTATAAGCTCAGCCAAGCATGTTCTTCTCCCCAATATATTTTAATTATGCATCTGCTCTAATTGCAATCAGATTACATCACTGAAAAAGGAACAAATTGGAAGTTTCTCTAATTACTAAGAGCTTTTCATCAATTTCCTAAAACAGGGTTTTTATTTAAGGAAAGGTAGAAACACCAGCAAAACTGTGACATTTCTAGACATCAGGGTCATTTTATTCAGCAATTCTGTATGGCTTTCATTAGCAGTCCAAACTCAAAAAAGGCAAATTTAAGTCCTAGGTCCTTTATTTTACTCCATTAGCAATGTTTTATACACAGACGAAAGCCCAACATAAATTAAAAAAAAAACCTGCCAGGCAAATCTTTAAAGACAACGTATGCACAGGCGCCCACTTGCAGACACTTAAAAACAGCTACTCTTTGATTTCTCAAGCAAGTACTGCCCCTATGAGTAAAGTGAAAGCAAAAGTTTCTATTTCAGAACTTAATTTCTCACAGTGTTCAGTGTACTTGGAAAAAATAAGTTTTTTCAGTATCAGCACTCCTAGGAAACTTCTAAACAAGAGCATGTGGCTTTCTCTTGATACACTCATGGCATTTAAAAGGTAGAGGTTGAAAGTTACAAAGCCACTAGTGATCTATTTGAATTAAATAGATTAAATTTGAAGGTTATTTTCATTTTCTTTATTTACCATGTGTATGAGAATCTAAGAGAATGTCAGAAGTACGTTATGCTTTGGAAACAAAAATGTCAAGAGAAACAAATGGGAGCAATTCAAAATGTGGTGTCTTTTTTTTTTTCTCCTTCCTTTTTGTCCAGATGTAACATCGTTTAAACGGCCTATTAAGGTGTTGCTTTGAAGGGAGGAAAAAAATAACACTTTTCCGGCACAAAATACCATAGCACGCACACATGGCCATGTAATTAAGCCTCAAGCAAAACAGATTGCTCCTTCCATGAAATGCAGGTATATTTGCAAGGAACAGAAAAGGCGATCCGGGGAAAAAGGGGATTAGAGGTTTATTACAATCAGACTGGCTGGTGCTGCCAGCCTCCCGGCTCTTTTGTTTATTCCCGGCAGGGCTTGTTCGACCGAAGTAACTTGACAGTCAAGGAAATCTATGAATTGCGAGTTGTTTCTCGACAGCAGAGCACTTGCAACAGCAACTCCATTGACTAGGTGGCGGGGAAAGGGGCGAAAAACTGCCCAAATAGAAGAAAAAGAGGAATAATCCGACTAATCCCGCTTCAACAGGTGAAAGAGAACCTCGGGGACTAAAAGGTTAAGAATTCCAGCCACCGGACCAGTTAAGGGGAGTCACCGCTTCTTCCATCGGAGGACCCCGCACGGAGAGTGCTCTCGCGACCCGCAACTTACATTCCTCCCGAAGAACACACAACCGCAAGCCCCATCACAAACACGCAACACACACACAAACGGGCATCTCCTGGGAAAGGGCACGTCGGCCGGAGTAGCCGCCAACTCTCCAGCTCCAACTCCCCCGTTTACCTGTCGTCGTAGCAGAAATCCGCGCCCAGGGTATTGAGGTACAGGACGAGCCCCAGGGCGCTGCTCACCAACTCCGCGATCATTTCTCCGCTCCTGCCGACCTCCGCCTCTCCCTTTGCTGCTGCTGCTGCTGCTGCTGCCGCCGCCGCCGCTCCAAACCCCGAAACGCATCCGCCGCGCGCTTTCTCAACCGCCTCGCTTCACTTCGGCTTCCTTCTCCTGCTAGCGGGTCGGCTCGGTCAACGCCTGCCGGCCCCCGGCATCTTCGCTCCTTTCCCCGCGCTCGGCCAGGCGCTGTCAGCGGCGGGAGGAGCCCGGTAGCACCAGCCGCTTTATTGTTTCGGTGTCCGCTCGCTCCTTTTTACCCCATGGCTGGCCGGGCGCCTTTCAAACCAACCCTGGTCTGGAATTTGCCCGCCTTGCTCCGCTCTCCCAATAGCGGGTGGCTCACTCCGCCGCCGACTCCCGACCGCCCGAGGCCCCTTCGAAGCTAAACCACCACCGAGGCTCCGCGAGCGCCCGCGTGGGGCTCTCCGAGCTTCCTTCGCGCTTGCGTGCCATCCCCTCTGGCCCGCCCCTTTCTCTCGCTCCAGTCCGCCTTCCGCCCCTCGGTGTCGGCGGCGCTTGCTGCCTCTTCCTGCTGCTGCTGATTTATTTTTATTTTATTTTATTTTTCTCGCTCTTCGCTAAGGAACAGATAGCTTAGTACTTCTAAAGACGCCCCCAGTTCTGGAGGAGAGGGGAAGGGGAGGCGAGAGAGAAGCTAAAAAGGAGGGAAGAAAGAGACCGGCCGGCTCTGCGACTGGCACAGGCTTTCCACCCTTGCCCGCTATTCAAAAGCAAGTCATCTGGCAACTCCCCCACCCTGCGGGAGAAGAATATTGTTGAGCCAAGTGGGGGATGAAATCTGACATTCTAGGACAAAGAGGTGGGTGGGTGGCTGAGTGAGTGTATCTAGCAACCTATTTAGGAGAGACCCGCCCTGCTTAATGTACAAGTTCCTCCGAAATACCTCCCAGGTTGCAAAAAAGGAGAGCCTAATGGAAGAAAACAAGCCCTCGCCCTCTGTGTGTGGTTTCAGGGCACACCTGGGAGATTTCCATCTGCCGGAGTAGTACAAACAGGCACAACCAATGGCTGTAGCCCTGCTATGAGGTCAAGGCGAGCAACACCACTATTTTTATCCAATCATCAATGCAAACCTCAATTCATGGGCAGTGTTCCTCGTTTTCTGCCAACCACCTGCAATGAGAGTTTCCTGAAGTGACACACCACAAGACACACTGCTGCCCAGGCACATGGATGAAATCCTGATGCTTTTTTTTAAAAAAAAGACTCTACCTGTTCTCATTATTCAACACTACCTTCTGAAGACTTCCTAAGGCTAAACCATGCCAGTCTTTCCCTGGCAATATTTTACATGCTCTTTTGAAGCCCATCTTAGAATGATACCAGTTCTCCCAGCTGTGTTCAGTTAGTTCCAAAGTGTCATCGCCAATCAGGGTAATTTTAAAACTGTGATGCATTACGCGTGAAATATTAACATGCTGAGAGCCCTGTTCAAACCTCAGCAGATAGCACTATTTTTCCGGGGACTGTTGAGTGTTGAATATATTGGGCCTTCTACCCAAAGGATTTTAATGTTGGTTCGACATAATCTGTCCCTAGGTTTTTCCTCTTTGATAAACGCAGCTAAAGAGAAGAACAGATTCTTTCCTTCCTGCACTAATCAAGTGTGAATAATGTTTTTTTCTTAATTGAAAGATTTAAAACATGTGCTAGTCGTCTTTTTTCAGTATGCTTGAGGCAGTGCCCAACACAAATAAGATTTAGAAATAATTTGTGACAAATGATTAAATGATTCAAACCGAAGCCTTTTCTGTCTAATCCAAGTGTGGGCATCCTGTATGCCCAAGCTCTATTTTTTTCCAGAAAACTTTCAGCTGAATTGATGGATATTGCTACAGCTTTCAGGCAAAAAAAATTAAGGGAAGCCCCTGGCCACAAATTTTTTACCCAGTCTGGTCTAAATAATCTAGATATCTATTAATAAGTACAAATTTGCACGCAGGTCGTTTTAAAACAGTAATTTTTCTTTCATGTCTGGCTCCGCTCTTCTTACTTACATCCATATTGTTTCTTAAGCAGAGTTATAAAAATGCTAGTGCCTTTGTCTTCTTGGGTGTTTCTACAACTTCCACCCTCATTCACAATGCTAAGAATCCCCAGTTAGGCCCAATCAAAATATTAACCTAAGCTGACCCTTCTTAGCATTCAAAATCAAGGTCAGTTAGGTGCTGCCACCTGCTGAGGTATAAGACAGATGCACTTTTCCTTTGTCTAATGAATATTTCAGCATTTGGAAATAAGCATGCTTTCTCTTAAAAAAATTATTCACCTTGCTATGATTTCTTGTTTTTTCTGTGTTTCTATGTTTGATGTGGGTTATCTGATGATGTTTGTTCTGTCCCACCTATTACTCCAAAATCTCTGTTGGATTTGTTGAAACATTGGCAGGTAACATTGTTACTTGTCTAGAATTGGACATTCCACTAATGAGTTGTATTCTTTATTCATATACTTACACTCCATTTGAAAAAATATGCAATACCTTCTCAAACCAAGCAACCAAAGAAAGTATCCTAGTAACTAAAGCTATAGATTAGTTTTTGGCACCATTTAGAAGAGGTTAAATCTTATTTCTATTCCTTCATATAAGACAATCAACTAATAATAAATTAGTTGGATTTGTAAATGGCATTTCACACAAATATTAGGCACAAGACCAGTGGTGGGATTCAAAAATTTTTACTACTGGTTCTGTGGCCGTGGCTTGATGGGCGTGGCAAGGGAAGGGTACTGTAAAATCTCCAGTCAGAGGTGGTATTTGCCGGTTCTCCAAACTAATCAAAATTTCCTCTACCGGTTCTCTAGAACTGGTCAGAACCTGCTGAATACCACCTCTGCACGAGACTGATAATAACATTATTATTAAAATTTTTCATGAAATTTGGAGATAGGAGCAACAAAATGTAAATGAAGACAAAAAAGTAGTACACGACGCCCAACATAGAGTAGCACCAAAAGTACTTAATACCAATTTAAAACAAAAATAACCGAGCCAGTTATACTTTCTTCAGGATGGCATTCCATCATGAGAGCACTACTTTTAAAAAGACCCTAGTCAGTTTTGCCAGGTTATTATTGTAAATTGTTATAAAGTTGCTATGGAGGATTGCAATCTTTAGATAGCATGTAAGCATATTGACATGTTTCACCTGTCCAGGCAGAATTTAGGGGATGGAATGGAATGACTATGTACATGTATGGATGGTAGACTATACATTTCTGGAATCCTTGAATAATTGCTATTTCCAGAAGACAGCTGGGGAAAATTATTAAAAGCTTTGTATTAATTATTTTGGTAACAGAATAGCAAGTTGGTTGCCTCTATGAGCAGCATCTAGTTCAAATGCACCATCATATTTTTAGCTTGCCCCTACATTTTCACCTCCTTCAAAAAAGAAGTGGGAACTTTGTCCAATTTACCACTTCATTTACATACAGTATGAGACTGACAATGAAAATATCAGACTTTTAGAAGGAAGACAAAATGCATATTTTGGCTGGCTTAATCTTGTGGAAAATATTTATCCACCCCATACAAGTAGAAGTATTTGTCATTGTATCTGCAATCCTTTATCTGCCTGCATGGAGTAGAACTGCAGAAATAGTCCATGTTCTATAATTTCTTAAATCAGCATAAATAGGACTTAAGTAATTTCTGATAATAGCAAGTTATAAAATCATAATGCAAAACTAGTTCCTGTTTTAAGTCTTTGACTTCAGGCGAAATAGACCTCTTTCATTTGCTTTCTTTGAACTTTCTCTGACCAGCATGGGAGAAAGAAATAACAACATATATAAAAGAGAAAAGTCTTGGCATTTATTTTATTTTTGCTTAAGTGTTGAAAATATATTATCATGCTTGGAAATAACATGAGATATGGTTTAGCACTTCATCAAAAATGTCTATTCATTGGATTGAGTGTTTGACATGTGTGATAATTACAAGGTATAAAGATAAGTAATTTAAAGAGTTCACACATATCACCAAATAGTCATTATCAAAACAACTTTCATTCTGTGCAATGAATGTTGTCACAGGCTATCAAAGGAAAGTAAGAGTAGGAGGGTTGCACTAATAATAGTAATTGTGGAGATGAGATGAACAGCATAACCTAAAAGCTATTCAAGAGGAGTTGAAAAGGTGTCAGATTTGTTGTTTTAGACGCGTATCAGTATGTGATGTTGTGGGAATCCTTGTTCACATTGGACAAACAGAAACAAGATATCCATTTTCCAAATAAAGGTGTGTTTGGGATTTGGAGAATCAAATTAGAAACAATACATATTTATTACAGTGTCAAGTTTTCTAAATTTACAAAGCACTTTGGAATCCAAAAAATATATGACACAACTTAATTGTAAATGTATGTATCAGACTTATTTTACCTGCAGCTGAATTATTTTTAAATGTCTTCCGGACTAGGCATTAACTCCATACGTGACCACAGTTAGCATCCAAGGGAAGAAAATAGAGATGATCCAGGTTGTATTATTTATTTATTGTTTATCCCCCCTTTATTATTTATTTTTATAAATAACTCAAGGTGCTGAATATGCCTTCTTCACCCACCTATTTTTCCCACAACAATCCTGTGAAGTGGGTTGGGCTGAGAGCAAATGACTGGGATCTTATTACCCACCCAGTGCCAGCCTGATAACTGCTGAATGATTAAAAACCCCAAGACTTATATGCTGTAGTGGGCATTCACACCCTTACAGGTGTGGTGGTTTGAATGCCATTAATTCCTATGGTATATCTCAAAGCCTCCCAACTAAAAGGGTGCTCTGATTTTTCCATGTGACACATTCGTTGTTTCCTATCTTCCATCTGTAAGCAACTGCACATGAATTAAAAATGTGTATCCATGTTTGGCAGATTCACTAATAACCGTGTTACTAACTTATCAACTGAGGTGATTCACTTAACAACCATGTCAAGCAGGACAAACTCACTTAACAAATCTCTCACTTAAACAACAGAAATGTTAGGCTCAATTGTAGTCGTGCGTCAAAGACTACCTGTTATTTAACTTTGTCCTATGTAAAAATTGCAGCAACTTCATTTCATGTAGAACTCATTAAAACAGCTTGACCAGGAATGCCTAAAATGCTCATGTCTATTGATAACTGAATTGTTTACATGTAGGTGAAGAGCAACATGCTGTTGTTGTTCTATGTACTGTAAT